GTTTTTCTACAGATTTCTTTTTTTACAGTGTAATATGATGTGCCACTGGGACACATAGTGAGGGGAGTAAACCAGAGCACTGTCAGGAGAAACCTGACATAAAAAAGAGAAACCATATTTTTTCAATATTGGCCTCTCTTCAGTGGCTCCCTGTTAAATCCAGAATGAATCCAATTTAAAATCCTTCTCACATACAAGATCTTGAATAATCATCCTACAAGTGCTCACGAGAGCACTTTGCGCTGAGACTGCTGGTTCACTTGTGGCTCTTTGGATATTTGAAAGTACAATAGCAGGTCGACCCTTCAGCTTTCAGGCCTCTCTTCTGTGGAACCAGATTCCAGTTTAGATTGGAGAGTAGCCTTTTCTGTTTTAATTCTTTTTTTACGTTTAAAACTTTCCTTTTAAATAAAACATATAATTGGGGCTGGATCAGGTGACCTTGAACACTCCTGTAGTTACACCGCAATACACCTAGGCTGCTGTGGTCTTCCCATGATGCACTGTTTCTTCCTCACTGACCTCTTTTCTGTTTTTGTGTGTTTATATAGCATCTTGTTATTATTAATCTCTGGCTCTCTTCCACAGTGCAGCTTTTGTCCTGTCTTCCTTCTCTCACCCCCAACCGATTGTTTCCCCTTCATGAGCTTGGTTGTGCTCGCACTGTTGACAAACTAGTGGAGGAAAGTATTTTATGGTGGATAAATTCTATAAAAAACTATTAAACAATAGTTGAATTCTTTAATTAATTGTGATTTGTAAGCATTTATAAAGTTAGTTTGTTAGATCATTGTTCCACAGAGTGGACCTCATGCAGCCCCTATTTTATAGCAAGGAGTTTTACAGATAACATATGGACATGCTTGTTGCTATTTGTCTACTTAATGCGGTTTCCAGGGCTCCGTGAGAGCAGAAAAGGACCAGATGTTCCTTTGCACCATCTGAAGGTCACCAGCATCAGTCTAGTGGCGTTGGTTGTGATCGAGGGCAGATGTTCCCAGGGTTATCCATTCCATATGGCTGCCACTCGTCCACTGGCCTTTTCACAG